CTGCACTTTCCCAGGGTGTTCCCTGAGCCTTACATGCAGGGGCTGTATTGTAGATGTACCAATTGGGGCTGAGGATGCTACAATCACTTGTTCTCTTTGTTCTCTGCTTTTTGATCAGGTGTGGTTTTCTGTAAAGATCTCTGTGACAAAAATAATCTTTTTTTTTTTCTGAAACAGGGTTTCTCTGTGTAACAGACATAGCTGTCCTGGAACTAGCTCTGTAGACCAGGCTGGCCTCGAACTCACAGAGATCCACCTGCCTCTGCCTCCCGCTGGGATTAAAGGTGTGTGCCACCACCGCCTGGCAAAAGAGGTTTCTTTGATGATGGGGTGAGAGCTACACTTACCTGTGGGCATGGGGGTATAAGGATGAATATTTAGAATGCAGTTAGGAATGAGAGTGGCCCAGTAGAGTGGTGGTAGCGTTTCTCCTCAGCAGCCCCAGGGAGTTTCCAGTACCAAGCATGCTTTCCCTTTTATTGAGTAGGCCTTGAGTCCAGTGAGAACTGTTGGCTAGCACTAAGATTTTAATTACTTTGTAATATTAATATTACAAAGATACTAATTCCACTATTATACTCTTAGCATTATCACACCTTGCTGGTTGTCATGGTTCATAGGCATTCAGGAAGGTAGGACTGTGGGATGCTTCCCTAAGCTGGAAGCTTCCATAGCACTTTCCCGTACTTTAGAAGTTCGTTGTCAGGAGGAAAATTTCAAGTCACATTCTGCATGGGCCGGTCCTCTGGGTCTTCTGTCTGAAATACACGATATCTTCAACAATAGGAACTCACCTTCTGTGTCTGGAAGGCAGCCTAGGGCAACAGCAGTAGCCTCTCCTATTGCGGGTGGAGTCTCTTGGATTTCCAAGAACAACTCAAAAGGAGTTTTCTCACGCCTGGTATTGGTGGGTTTTGCTAGATAATCTATGGTTCTTGCAGAGAGCATTGTCAGTCCAAGTGATATCCTTTCCTTAAACTATATATGTATACACATAAACTTATATGTATTCTATGTAATTCTAGGTATTCCTTAGGATTTTTTTCAGATAGCCCTAGTGTCCTTTTGGTCTTTTCCCTTCCTCACCTTCTGCGGCGACTCCCCTCTCCCTCCCTATAAAAAGCACTGTCCAGGTTTTACACATCACCCCATCTAGATTACTTGTACCCGTCTGCCCCCGCCCCAAGTGCTCCACCCTCTCTTCAATTTCCTGGTTTCTGCAGCGCTCGGGTTGTGGACTCAGATCTGAGATCTGGAGCGTGGAACCGCAGATGAGAGAGAACATTCCTTCAGGGTTTGTCTTTCTGGGTCTGGGCCACCCCACTCAGTGCAATACTTTCTCGTCTGCCCATTTACCTGCGGATTTTATGGTTTGCTTTTCCTTTACAACTGAATAGCATCTCTTGCATATGTACACATTTTCATTATCCATTCATCAACTATCGGGTTGTTTCCATTTCCTGACCACTGTGCATAGAGCAACAGCGATCATAGCTGAGCTTCTCTGTGGAGGAGAGCTTCAACTCCTTTGGGCAGACTTATTTTTATCTTTTTTGAGAATTCTCCACACTGAATTTCAGAGTGATTGGACCAATTTGCAATCCCAACAACATCAAATGAGGGTTCCCTTTCCCCCAAAATTCTCTCTAGCATTGGTATCTGGTTGTTTTGTTGATCTTAGCCATTCTGGCTGGGATAAGATGAAATTTCAGTTGTTTTATTTTGCATTTATCTGCCGAGCAGTGGTGGTGCATGCCTTTAATCCCAGCACTCGGGAGGCAGATCTCTGTGAGTTCGAGACCAGCCTGGTCTACAAGAACTAGTTCCAGGACAGGCTCCAAAACCACAGAGAAACCCTGTCTCGAAAAAAAAAAAAATTTAAATTTGCATTTATCTGATTGTTAAGGACAAGGACTATTTCTTGAGAGATTTCTTTGCCTCCTGTTTCTTCTTTTGAGAACTCTGTCTTCAGATTTGTAGCCGTTGTTTTGTTTTTTTTTGTTTTTTTTTTTTTTTTTTTTTTTTTCGAGACAGGGTTTCTCTGTAGCTTTTGGTTCCTGTCCTGGAACTAGCTCTTGTAGACCAGGCTGGCCTCGAACTCACAGAGATCCGCCTGCCTCTGCCTCCCTAATGCTGGGATTAAAGGCGTGCGCCACCTCCGCCCGGCTTTGTAGCCCGTTTTTAAATGAATTATTTGGTGCTTGTTTTGTTTGATTGTCCTTGTTTCTGGAGTTCTTTTTTGTTTGTTTGTTTGTTTGTTTGTTTGGCTGGTTTTGGTTTTTGTCTTGTCTTGGTTTTTGAGACAAGGTTTCTATGCATCGCCCTGACTGTCCTGGAACTCACTCTGTAGACCAGGCTGGCCTTGAACTCAAGAGATCCACCTGCCTCTGCCTTCCGAGTGCTGGGACTAAAAGTTAGTGTCACCACTGCCTACCTCTTTTTGACTATTCCTTTAGCTGAGCCAAAGCTTTTTAGTTTTATGAGGTCCCAGGAGTTGTTGGCCTTAACTCCTGGGCAAGAGTCCTCTCCAGAAAGTTCTCTCCTGTATCCGTAGCCTGTAGGTGCTGCCTATTTCATGGAGCAGTTTCCAACTTCACATTGGAGGTCCTCGGTCCATTCGGAGTTTGGTTTTGTGGAAGACCACAGATTCAGATCTCATGTCTTTCTAATAGGAAGTGGCGGAACCAAGGGGCAAACCCATTTTCCAACCCATGTCTCACATATTTAGCTTCGTCCTGAAGAGCTAGACTTCATAATGTTTAGCTCAGAGTGAGGATAATCTCCATCAATGGGGCAGAGTGGACAGAAGGACCCGACGTGGGAACAGGGTGGAAGATGGACTCTAAGTCCTCAGCCCAGCAGCCTGTAATCCAGGCTACCCATTGGAAAGCCTGGAAGCTCTGGAAAACTCAACCATGCCGCACCCCGGTATTTGTAAACCTCCTTAGACTGAGACCTCCAATGTAGAAAACCACATTAGACTCATGCCAAACAGACCCTGAAGAGGATTTCTCCTCTCTCCACCAGAGGCCTGGAGCTGTCAAGGGCCTCAGTCCCATAGGACACAACAGGCTTTGTGGAAGGACGGGTAGCCAGGCACTAAAGGCCAGTGACCTTCACCCTTTCTGTTTTCTTATAAATAGGAAGAGCAAGAAGATAGCAAATGGCTGTTTGGATCCCAAACACACTTGCGTAGAGGTAGGCAGGACTGACATTTGTCAATTCTGAGCGAGGGGGGTGGGGGAATGAGAGTCAGGGTAGAAATATCGATGGCTTTGTGTCTCATACATCTGAGGGTACCCATTCCTGGAGTTCTCCCCTCCTTATCCTAAAAGCTGCTTTCTTCACCTACCGAGGACCAGAATGAAGAGGTGAAGTGGCACCATAAGGAAATTAACGCAGACAGGGCTCCCTAGTGACAAGCCAAGACGATCTTTGGCTACGCTGCCTGCTCCCTAGACTTAGTCGAAGGAAATCAGAGCACTGTTAGAAACAATAACCGTGCCTCTAATCGAATTTCATTTGAATGGCTCAAAATCAGATCTCTTACACACAGCCCTCACAAAAGGCCATAGATAATTCTGTAAATATAAAAGGGCTTTAAAATGACATTTGGGCAGAGAAAATGGCTCAGTGGATCGAGGTACTGGTCACCAAGCTGATGATCTGAGTTCAGTCCCTGAGACCCGCATGGTTGGTGGAGAGAACAGACTTTCAAAGATTGTCCCCTTCACATGTATGCTGTGATACATACACACACTCCATGTGTGTGCATGTGTGTGCGCGCGTGTGTGATAAAAATTCAAAATAACATTCATTGGTATTATTTCAGACCCTGTCCTCACAAGATATTTCAGTTATGAAACACATATTTATTTTAACACTACACTAGAATTATCAAAAGACAGCTGCATTTCCAGCAGCTTAGCTATGCTTGCTGTTCGGGGATCTCCAGGATCAGAAACAGCAGCCTCTCCTCTCTATCGAAACGCAGGCTCTCTGACTCCATCTTAGTCCTATGGATCAGAACTGCATTTCACCTGGCGTGATTTGATGCACAGTCTAGTTTAATAAGCCTTGGCTGGGAACTGGGGAGATGGCTCAGTCTGTAAAAGAGCTTGCTACACCACAGAGAAACCCTGTCTCGAAAAATCAAAAAAAAAAAAAAGAGCTTGCTACATAAATATGAGGGCCTGAGTTCAGATCCCCAGAATCCATATAAAAGGCCAAGCAAGAGTGAGGTCACTTCCAGGTGAGTGACCAAGCTCACTACAGAGGCGCACCTGTAACCCCAGCACTGGGAGGCAGAGCTAGGAGAATCCTGGAAACTCACTGGCTATTCAGCCTAGCCAATTGGTGAGCTCCAGGTTCAGTGAGACACACTGTGCTTGTCTATACATCAAATGTGCAGAGAACCAGGAAAGAAATAATCCCACACATGCTGTTGTTTGAGGAACACTCAATCAGGAAAGGTTCCCAGCCCATATGGGGAAACATAAACACCCTAATATTGAAGGGGTGGCCCCAGAGATTAGGGAAGAAACGAGACGCGGATGGCAAAGGTCTATGACTATATGCTTCCCAGTCTTCATGCCACCATCTGTAAGAGCGACTCTATTGTACCATTTTATGGATGAGGAAACTGAGCTTACCAGTAGTAAGTTTGACTGACTGGGTCATGTTCCTGGCTAGTTGAAGCTCTGAGACTCTAGTTTGTGCCTGAGTAGCTACTTTCTAAGGCAGGCGCCTTTCCACCATTCCGCTTCTTGAGTAGGAGACCTGCCGAGACACGCTCTCTCGGGCCCAGGAACCCGGCTGGCTGCCTTCACCTTGCAACCCTCTCGTCATCACAGCGTTCCTCCAGCTTCATCCCCCACCTTGGGTTTTAACCAGAGACCACCTTTCTAGAAGATATAATTTACACACCTTAAAACTCACTTTTCAAAGTGTACAATTTAATGTATTTTAGTATATTTGCAGTTATGCAATGATTACCACGATCTAATCCCAGAACATTTTCATCAACCAAGGAAGAAACCTTCCGTCCATTACCTCCTGTCCCCCGAGCCTCTGGAAACCACTAATCTACTCCTGCCTGTGAACCTGCCTACTCTGGACATTTCAGATCAGCAGGGTCATGTGATGTGTGGTCTTTGTGATGCGCTTCTGGCGGCTGATAGGATGTTTTTGAGATTCGTCCACATTTCAAGTACCAGGACTTCATTCTTCTCGACTGCCAGGTAATTGTTCCGATGTATGCTTCCTGCGTGTTCATTCATGAGCTGGTGGATATTTGGACCGTTCCCACCTTTTCCCTCTCACGAGGACGGTGAGCAAGCCTTTACGTGGATGTACATGTTCATCTGAAAGGTTGATTTTGTTTGGTCATGCGGTCACTCCACATTTAACTTGCTGGGGGAAATGCCACGTTGTTTTTCGGAGAATATTCTCCCCAACGCTCTGATCTCTTCCTGGATTTGAACAAGAATACAGTGTAGTCAGAGAGATACAGGAAGCCATGAAGCGGAAGAGACAAGACACAGCTGATGTCACTGAACATCAGCCTGTACCCACAGTGACTGTCCAAGCCTGAGGCAGTCTCACAAGAGTGGCCAAAAGAGGAATTTGACGAGAATGCAGAGAAAGCAGGTGTCGGGGCTTGTGGCTGGAGACTGCACAGAGTACAGGGCTCTGGAGCCCTGAGTTCAAATCCTTTCTTGTACTCACTGTGTGGCCTTGGAAAGGGTCTTTCTCCTTCTGGGTCTCTGGTTTCCCGTCTGTGGAACCGGATGCATCTTCATTCTACTGTGCCCCCCCCCCCCTTTACTGTCCCCACGGCTCTGGCTTGAGCTATTCAGGTGTCAGAATGTGCTGTGGAAATTGCTAGAGCTGCCTCAGGGAACTACAGGTACGCCCAAAGATGAGTGAGGGGGGGCTCCCAGCTATCTGCTCAGGGACTAACAAGCCTCCCAGGGATGGGGTGCTCAGCACTGCGGACCATCAGGTGGGGACCCCAGTCTCGGACATCGCACAAATGAGGAACACTAAACAGCAGCAACAGCCCCTGGGCCACATGCTACAAGTGCAGACTTTTCTTCCAAGGAGTAACGTTTGCTTTACTACAGGAGAGATGAGGCCATTTTACTCCGCTGTTTCCTCTTAATGGAGAAACCAGAAAACGACCTCTTCAGCTCTAACTGTTAAGTGGGACTGTTTGAGTTCTAACCAAGAAAACATGCAGCCGTGACGGGGCCTTTAAAAGACTGTGCGAGGCAGCTCTGCCTTGTCTTTTACTGTGACAAGCATGGATTACATGGAGGCCTGGGAAGGTGAAGGCACTTCTCTACAGCCCAACTGCTTGAATTATAGGTATCCACCAGTGATGAGATCTGACTTGGCTTTTTCTCCCCAAGTTATGCAACCAAAGTGCAGTCTACAACACGGGTGTGAGTGGTCTGGAAAGCCTGAATGTCTGGCTCTTACAGAGATGTCTCACTGACCCCTGGACTACCCTACACAGACTCGCTCGGCTTCCCACAGCACACAGCACAGGGCAAGACCTAATAACACCCTAACCTTCAGAAATACGGCATTTGCTTACAGCGTGAGGTTGTTAACTCCATGCATGCTCCAGTCACCTCGTACTAAGATGTGCTGGGAAGAACAGGACATCAAGAGCTAGGCACAGTAGAGCCTGGATGCCCCGCCAGAGAGCTCAACGTGTGGTGTAAAGGCGCCCCCTAGGGGCCTGCTGGGGTTGCAGAGCCCAGGATACCCCCCCCCCAAGAATTCACGGAGGCACACACAGGTACAGTGGAATGAAAATAATCTAGGATTTCTAAAACCCAGGAAAGACTTCAGGAACCGATAGGACAGGACAGTCCTAAGAAAGACATTCGAGATTGTGTAGCTTCGGGAAGAAAATTCCGAGTTATCTCTAGAACCTCAGGTTTAAAAGAAAACTCTAGCTGGGCGGTGGTGGTGCACACCTTTAGTCCCAGCACTTGGGAGGCAGAGGCAGGTGGATCTCTGTGATTCAAGGTCAGCCTGGTCTACAAAGCAAGTTCCAGGACAGCCAGAACTGTTAGACAGAGAAACCCTATCTTGAAAAACCGAGAAAGAGAAAGAGAGAGAGAGAGAGAGAGAGAGAGAAAGAAGAAGAAGAAGAAGAAGAAGAAGAAGAAGAAGAAGAAGAAGAAGAAGAAGAAGAAAAGGTTGAAGTCAATTTTGCTAAAATCAAGAACTTGTATCCAACAAAACCATTACACAGCAGATGAGGGGACAAGCCAGAAGCTGAGCAATAACTGTGACATAACAACAAAGAATTGATGTCCATACTCTACAAAGAGCAGCTACAAATCACAGCACAAAGACAGACACACTCAACTTGTACAATGGAGAGAAGAGGCTTGGTGGGTAGAGTGCCTGCCACTCATGGCTGATGACCTGAGTTTCGATCCACAGAACCTCTGTAAAACTGGCCACTGAAACATCCACATCTGTAATTCTAGAACTTCTGCAGGCAAGACTCATACACATGTAATAAAAATAAATCATTTTTAAGATTAGGGAAAGGTCAAAACAGGAATTTCAAACCTGAAAAGATATAAAAGAAACACAAGCATCAGAAGATGCTCAACTTCCTTAGTAACAAGGACAATGCAAACAGAAGCCAAAAGGAGAAGCAGACCCACAACCACCCAGTTCGCAAAAGACTGCCCAGGCAAGGGCAGCAACTCAGAACAAGGAAAGTTCTTGTGTGCTGTTGAACAGTGTTAAGTGCTAAGCCACTAGCAACAGCTTGGCCTTAGCTGATAAAATTAAAGACAGGCATGTCATATGACTGAGCAGCATCACATCTAGATCAATACTAACTCTTACATGCAACCAGAGACATGAACAACCGTTGTTTATAACAGCCCGAAATCATAAATAACTGAAACCTCCCTTCTCTGGAGGAGCAAAAGTCACAGCATGTTACCATGCCAGAACACTGTGCAACGCGTGAGCTACAGCTGTACCCAGCAGCAGGAGAATGAGACAGGCAAGCAAGCTGTGGGAGAACACCTACAACTCGGTCCTCTTGCTGAAAGCACAGGGAGTGGAAAACTGAAACCATGCCGTGCCTAGCAATACTGCACGTGGTGAAGCTCCGTTTAAAGAGCAAGGGGAGCTGGTGAGATGGCTCGGTGGGTACGACCGCTTGCTCTGAAAGCCCGAGAACATGAGGGCCTGAGTTTGAACCCACAGCACCAAGATTAAAAGGCTTGTGTGCCTGTAACCCCAGCAACGGGGAGCCTAGATGTCTATTTCATGCTGTATATACTCTTTTACAAGTGAACTTCTCACCAAAGCCCTTTTTCTAAGAGCAAGAGTCAAGTGTTATAACAAATCTCTGTAATCATGGCACTCAGCAGACTAAAGCGAGAGGATTACAAGTCCAAAGCCAGCCTGGGCTACATAGGTCTCAAAGAAAAGAGTTAAAAGAAAAGAACTGTGATTTCCAAAGGGTAGGCAGACTACAATCAAATGTGTGTGTGTGTGTGTGTGTGTGTGTGTGTGTGTGTGTGTGTGTGTAACTGAAACACACGAGTTTATCTGAGGGTAGAGAACCATTAGGAAGTTAGTTAGGGTTGTGGTACTAACAGGGAGGGCCTTCTCTGTGCCAGGTTCTAATTTTCAGAGTCTCAATGGGTAGTAAATGCTGCCTTGTCAATCAAACACAACCAAGAATAAGCCGAGTGACTGCAGTTCTGGACGGCAGTGAATTAGAACTTACTGCTGTATCTAATAACCCCTCTGTGACATTTGCCTGACAGTTCAGTTTGTAAGAGCATTCCCATGTGCCAGCTCAGTCACTTCCCACAATCCTGCAGAGAGGTAGCCAGAGAAGGTTATTAGTATGCCGATTTCATCTTATTTTAAAACCAGGGTCTCATGTATCCCAGATTGGCCTCAAATTTAACTAGGTAGCCGTGGATGACCATGAACTGTTGATCCTACTCCAGGACTAGAGTACTGGTCTTATAAGCATGTAATATACCACCACACCCAGTCAATGCTGTGCTAAGGCTCTAACCCAGGGCTTTGTGCACGCTAAGCGAGCACTCTACCAACTGAGCTACATTTCAATCCCTTATGCGATTATTTACTTCTTAAGATGATTCTTTTATCTGATAAACTATTAAATTATAAATAATATCTGATGTTTTATTATTTATTTAGTATCATGTGTGTAGATGTGCACTTGAGTGTGTGCCAATGGAGGCCAGCATAGGACATAAGTTTTGATATCCTGGGAGACCAGAAGGCAGTGTCAGATTCCCTGGTACTGTTCCCTGGTGCTGGAATTACGGGCAGTTATGGACATTGGGAACTGAAACACTGATTCTCTGCAAGAGCAGCTAGCACTCTTAACCCACTGAGCCATCCCTCAAGCCCCACCTCTATGGCTTTTTTTAAAGAAAAAGAAATCAAACCACAGAAAGCCAATAATAATCTTCTATTAGTCCCACACACACACAGCTGGCCCCAACCCTGCAGGACCTCCTTCTACTTCCTGGAAACAGGGCAGCCTGCCCTGGGCCATACTCCTTGTACACCCTACTCATAAACACCCTGTTTCTCTCACCTTGATTTATGCTTTTTGTGGTCCTGATACGTAGGGACCTTCTGTTTCTTCTTCTTTAAGGAATTTTTCTTAGCTTTCTCATCATATGTCTATATGGACTCTCTTTTCCTTTTCTTGGTCTTTTTGTTTGGTTTTGATGAAGGTCTTACTGTGCTTCCCAGGATGTCTTTAGATTCTTGGGCTCAAACAATCCTCCTGCCCCAGTATGCTAAACAAGGACCATGGGCTCCTGCCACCTTACCTAGCTCTAAGTGGAGTTCCAGTTCCTACCATGTGTTATCAGTGTTTTGACACTTGTCTTGACTAGTCTGCAAAACTTCCTCGCCCTCCAGAGCCAATGGCATAATGGCATCGTAACTGGGAGAGACCACTGAGAACTTATTCTGTCATGTCGTGTGGTCTGGAAAACTTTAAGTGAGATAGTGCCTACTATACAGTCTGTGTTAACTGAATGACTATCCCTCTTCATCCACTGATTCCAGAGAGTAACAGTGAGGTATTAAACCAAAAGGCCATCGCTGACAGTGAGCTCCTCCACCCTCCCGCAGGCTCAGTTTCAACACTTCCAGTCCATTTCAGGAGAAAGACTTCCAGGCTGGGAGTGTAGCTTGCCTAGCACGCACAAAGCCCTGGGTTCAATTCCCAGTGCCACAGCTTCAAGAAGTGGTGACGGACAGCAGTAATTCTAGCCCTCAGGCAGTGGAGACAGGAAGATAGAAAGTTCAAGGTCATCCATGGCCTGTAGCAAGTTTGAGGCTAGCCAGGGAAATAAGAGATCCTGATGCTGTCACACACACATTACATTCTCATTCTCTCTCTCTCTCTCTCTCTCTCTTCCTTTCTGTCTCCCCCCCCTCCCCGTGTGTGTGTGTGTATGTGTGTGTGTGTGTGTGTGCATGCAGAGACTTATGTACTGGCAAAATATCATAGCAACTAAAAGGACACTATTGCTGCAGTACTTTGGGCTCTCCAAGCGAAAAGGTTCAGAAGTTTTGTTAGGGGGAGGACACAAGCAAAGAAAATTGACCCCCAGTTCTGAGCTTGTTCTGTATCATCCAGGCTTGGAGGAACCTGCAGGTGGGCTCAGAATAGGAGGGATATGGAGAGAAGGCAGTCAGGAGATAACCCCGATTGTTCGCACTGAGATTGATGGAGGCTGTAGCGCTAACCCTTATCTAAGCAGCTGTAGAGCTCCAGCTGCTTTTCTCCCGGGAGAGGCCCTTCCAGTTGAGCCACTCAAGGACACACTCCCCCTTCTGCAGAACTGCCTGGAAAGGAATGAACTATTCGATCACATGATCTTCATTTGCACGTTTATTACCTGGGCTGGTGTCCAACTCCTGCTCGTACGCACTGAGAAGTCATGTCCTGTTCACTGGTGGTTTGATCAGGCCAAGGGTGATTTTGGAGTCGGTTTTCTCACTTAGTGGTTCTGGGTAGCAGACTGGACTTGTACTCTAGAGCCTGGAATGAGAGTACTTCCTTGAGAGGATTCCAGAAGGAGGTGTCAATTGAATGAGTAATAAATGACCTTCTGACTCTCAGGGTGTTGGGAACACAGTTTTCAGATGCTCTTTTATCTATGACGGAAAGACATCTGACAGTAACTCATTGACTTCTTTAACCACAGCATAAGCAGACATTTTATTCCTGAGCAAATTGTAAATAGTGCATGAATAATTAAAAAAAAAAGAACCAGCATAGTGCTAGCCAAAAGAAAGCTAGATTGAAGAAAAATTGGGAGCCCAAGTTCAGATATTAACTCTCAGCAATGCTTCAAAGCAACAGTCTTACATACCCCCGCCCTGCAACAGACAAATTCACTGGGGTAATGTCGGTGTGTAAATTCTCGATGCTTCTGTTGGGAAGCAATATGAGAGCACACAGGCAGTACTGTATTATGATCCCGGAGAAATAGGGCAATGTAAAGTCAGCACTAAAACATTAACATCAGCAATAGCTATTATAGTAAACGAAAACCCCCGCAGTTCTAGGCTTAAGAGAATTGCTGCATAGATTCTGATGACAGCCTCACATTCGTCTCTCCCGGAGCGATCGGGGTAATTAGGGAGATTAGCAACGCTGAGAGATGTTTATGATGAGAGAACTATCCCAAGCTCAGGGATAACATATGTACTCTGATTGTAGCTCTGTAAAAATGCTCATTCCAGAGTCCCAGGACCAGAAGGTATTAAAATAAACCCGCTGTAGTGCTCGAGAGGCGAGATGTTATGTTCCACATCGTTTTTAATTTCCTCTTAGATGCCACTTTGTCTTCAACTAACTAGAGAAACGAAAGCACAACAGTTTAAAAAGGAATTCGTCTTTCTGCCAAATTCCCCGCTAGACAGTAAGAAAGGCAGGAATCCTGCCTAGCTCGCTCAATAATATTTGCCAAAGTGTGTGGCTGGCACAGGCGCGATGTTCCGTGAGTGTCCGTGGACAAAGAACTGGGGACTGCCAGCCTCTCTGAAGGATCCAGTGAACAACCGATGGAGGTCCCCTGCTTTCGCGGAGATACATCTTGCCAATATCTCCACAGTCTCCAAAACCTAACACACTTCCTTCTACAAACAGCCTTTAGAGAGCCGCTGTCTCCCATCCTCCACAGTTTGATCGGCAAAAGGAAAACATGATCTTAAGACTTCCCTTTCTGGGGCCAGCCTGGAAGAGGGGACGCTTTCTCTCTGATACAGAGGCTTCACCTTGGGCCAGAAGAATGATCCCCAATCACCGGGACGCTAACACTTCACACCAGCAGGTGGCAGTCTATGTCCCTCCTTCCTGTGCAGAACCAACACTTTCCATAACGTCTGCCCAGCGCTTTGATAGTGAACTGTTCAAATACTGGTACCCAATCAACCTCCTACAGATCTTAAGTTTGCCTGATGTTGTCAGAACTGATCCCTCCCCTCACTCTTCAGCTGGGGAAACCATTTCCACAGAGGCCAGGAGAGTGTCCATGACCAGCTCCTCAAAGAGCAGCCCTGGATGGAAGGGCAGCTGCCAGGAGCCAGCTCTCCTTGCTTAATGCCCTCCAGGCTGTTGAGGTTATAGCAGTCTGAACAAGATAAAAGCAAGCGAGATGTTTCTAAATCCAGAACAAAAACGCCTTCTACATCACCTCGTCAAATGACAAAATTGTTCAGGCCTTGTGACCTTTGGATTCCCTTTAGAGAAGGAAATGCATAAAAAAAAATAGAATTTGTCTGTAAGTATTTTATAAAACTGGGGCTGGAGATCAGTGGGCAGAGCGCTTTCCTGGCATGCATGAAGCTCTGATTAAAGTGCACGTGGTGGCACACACGGCACATGCCTGTAATCCCACACTCAGAAGGTAGAGGCAGGAAGACCAGAAGTTCAAGGTCATCCTCAGCGGTCTACCTAGATTGGGATACCTTACACCCTGAGACCCTGTCTAAAATAAACACAACCTCTGTGTGTGTGTGTGTGTGTGTGTGTGTGTGTGTGTGTGTGTGTGTGCGTGTAAAGCAAAGATATATACAGAGATGCATATAACTGTGCTTAACGTAGCAGTTAAAGCCTAAGGTAGTTCAAATGATCTACTGTGGGGCAGAACTGAGGAAATTGTGCTGTGGTCATACTGACACTGCCCGTGTTCTGCATAGAGAGCAAGGCTGGAGTCCAGCCTGAGGAAGGAATAATACTATGTTGGACGCTAAATCAATATTTCCTGACTTTGGGGTCAGGTTCTCTAGAAAGACAGCAGCTGCAAAGGGAGCTTGGAGTGAAAAGATCACTTACTACCCAGACGACACCAAGGTTCAGGCCTACAATACTGATTTTCTCCCACTACACAGAGACTCCGCAGGGCAAGGAAGTGTAATTACATAAGCCATAAGCCACGAGAGAGGATCTAACTCCTTGGGAACTGGAGACACGCACGGAACTCCACTTGGGAGCACATCCAGGCTCTTACACCCATCTACAGATCCTGAAAGTGACTCCCAGAAATCCTCCATCCGTCTGTGATCTCCTGGGATGAGTCCTTTGGCCAAAGAGAGTGTAACTAAGCACTTTTTGGTATTTGTTGCTAAAAAGAAAAAGTGGAGCCAGCACTAAGCTGAATGAGTTCATGCAGTAGTGGCAGCTTTGAGAACAAGACCAAGGCTAGGGACACCAGGGATGACCCATGTGCACAGAAGAAAACCACAGTCCCGCCCTGAAATAGAACTGCCCCACACAGGAAGACCTTCTGACCTCTGCTATCAAAACTGAAGACAGGAGAAACTGAGCAACCACAAGCGCCTCAGAAAGCAAACAGGGCCTTCAAGCTTGGAAATAATAACTACAAATTGAATAGCTTGGGCATCTTTGCATCTCTGCAAAAGATCGAGGTCGACAAGGAAGCAGGCTGGTGCCCAAGACTGTAACCCTGCTATAAAAGAAGAAGGATCTCAAAGTCAGGGCCTGCCTGGGCTACAAACTAAGTTCAAGGCCAACTGGGCAATTCAGTAAGACCTTCTTCCAAATCAAGAGAGTTGAGCTCAGGGGTAGAACACTTGCCTGGCAGCACAAAGTCACATATTCATCCTTCAGTGAGGCACATGAGTGTGCACACCCGCATGTGTGTGCACACACGTTTATACATGCATACATAGGCATGTGCACACATCTGTGAAGGACTTCTTGAACATTACCATGCTTTTTTCTTCCACAAGTCAGCCACTAGAAGCAAAAAGTAGTTAAGAATTCCTTTCACTCTTTGCTACCACACACGTATCTCCTCTCCTTAAAACAAACAAGAAAAAGGAACCCTTTCTGGTGATACACAGGCAGGCCTGGTCCTCTCCCAGCCTCCCTGGCCTTCTCTTGCAACCCTCCAGGGCATTTCCTGATCCAGCAAAGACGTGGTAAGCGCCCGACCCAGCAGCCTCTACAAACCCATTTGGCCAGTACACACGTTGGAACCAGTTATTAGATATTTTTAAACATCTCCTGAGAAAGATTCTGTAAACACATGAAAAGGAGACCTTATGTCAGAAGGAGACAAAAGACAGAAGGATAGAGATTCTATGGCTTCACAGAAAGATGAGGCAGAGCTTGACATGGTAACTACAAGGAAGAACAAAGGAAAAGCTTATGTTTACATAAACCAAAAATTTCTAAGAATTTAGTGTCTAATAGCTGAGTGGTGGTGGCCCACATCTTTAATCCCAGAACTCAGGAGGCAGAGGCAGGCGGATCTCTATGAGTTTGGGGCCAACCTGGTGTATAGAGTTAGTTCTAGGACAGGCTCCAAAGCCTGTCTTGAGAAGCCCTGTCTTGAAAAACAAAACAAACAAAGATTTCAGAGTCTAAGTATCTGGTAAGTTAGTAGACAGGAAATTTGACCAAAATTGTCAGTTGACTACTCTGCAGCCATTTCTCCTCTCTCTTAAAGGAAAGTAGCAATTCTATGCACACTCTTGCCCTCCCAATAACTGAACGCTTTGGGAAAGGTTAAGTCCAAGGTTGTCTGGGTGACTAGGGTATGGATCTAGATTTCCTGGGCTCGGTGTGAAGGTCCCTTCTTCTTGCCACACAGTATGCTATTATCAGTGAAGTGGAAGGGGAGGTCAGCAGGGAGAATTTAACAACCTTCTGTTTGTTCATAGAAAGGGACAATGGTGGGGCTGGAGGTGGGGATGGAGGGACGACTCAAGAATCAGGAGCAGTTCGTCTTCCAGGAGACCATGGTTCCATTCCCAGCACCTGTGTGGTGGCTCACAACTATCTGTAACTCCAATTCCAGGGAATCCAACACCCTCTGGCTTTCATGGGCCCTGCATGATATGGTGCACAGACAAACATGAAGACAACACACCCAAACACATAAAAAAACAAAAGTTCAGAGAAGGAGGAGGGGGAGAAAGGGAAAATGGCAGAAACAAATGTCTCTGTTTTCTTTGAGGATATCTAGTCCCAAACTAGACATTAAAATGTGTGATGGCAGCCAGGCGGTGGTGGTGCACGCCTTTAATCCCAGCACTCGGGAGGCAGAGGCAGGCGGATCTCTGTGAGTTCGAGACCAGCCTGGTCTACAAGAGCTAGTTCCAAGACAGGCTCCAAAGCCACAGAGAAACCCTGTCTAGAAAAAAACCAAAAAAAAAAAAAAATGTGTAATGGCGGCATTAAGCCCAGTCCTGATGACTTGTGGCTATACCTATAAGTTACTGCATCTCTCAGCCCTTCTCAGAGAAGCTTCCTTTTGGAATAAATGGTGATAAGCATCAAAATAAATAAAATAAAATGTGTGATAGTGGCACACAATTTAATCCCAGCACTCGGGAGGCCAATGCAGGCAGATCCCTGAGTTTGAAGCCAGTCTGGTCTACACAGTGGATTTCAGGCCAGAAAAGGCTACATAGTGAGACCCCATCTCAATCTTAAACAAACACAAATCAAATAACAACAACAATAGCAACAAACTAAAGCCAACATTTTCAGCCCCAAACAGAAAG